AAGATTCGTCTTCATTTGCATAAACTTTAACTTGGATTTTCTCTATCAAACTTGGTTCATTTCGTAAAAAAATCGGTACACAATGAGAACAAACATCATAAGTTTTCTAAGCCGTTTAATAATCTCGCAGATCGTGTTTTATCGAGTCTAAAACCACTCGGCTGCGCCTCGTGTTTTATACCCGATAAAACACTCCTGCTCGTTTATTAAACATTACATAGATACCAAATACAATTTTTCTTTTCTTAAACTAAATTATTAAATTATTATTATTATTACTATTATTATTATTATGTTTATTATGACACCTTGGTTATTACACTTTGCTTCACTGGTTTTTGAAAAACACTCTAATATTAGTATTACTATTATTATTATTATATTTCTATATACCTAATTGAAAAAATGTTGTTGGGTTTAAAAAAAGGTTATATCATCAAGGCTAAGACCAAAGGGGAGCAAAGGGAAGACAAACAATTATGCTAATTTCATGCGTATAGCAGTTTTCCCTTCCTGTGCACAGTTTATGCATCATGGCTATGGTATGTTATTAATCTAGGTCGACCGACTTTGCTTTACTGTGCATTTTTACATGTCTATATGCAAATATAATATACATTTCGGAGTACCCAAAATCCTTTTCGGTCTTAGCTTCGATGATATGACCTTCTTGAACCCGACTACGTTTTTTCAATTAGGTGTATTTATATTATAAGATAATCATATTATTTAAAGCAAGACAGTTCTTTATAGAGTACTCACTAATATGGTGTTCACTATATAGCTAACAGTCACTATATAGCCTCACCAGAGGTACAGTATTTGTTGTTTTTACCACCAAGAGAATAGAGAAGAGAAAACGCTTTTCACTCCTTCCCAGACCTTTCGGCCAGCAGTTTTGACTGCATTGACACACGTATTGACCACCTTCTTCACGGGAGCAATGACCTTCTCTTGGAATGCTTTCTTTATCGTCGGTGCATATTCATAGCACAATCCAACTGCTGATCCAACGACATGGCCCACACCATATCCAATTGCACCCATGGCTATGCTTCCCAGAGGACCAGCTACAGAGCCAATAACAGACCCAGCAATTCCACAGGTGATATGACCTGCTGCTTTGGAAGCAGTAGCGACAGAATTGATTTGAAACTGGCGTTTTGATAGGCGGCCTTCCTTCATCCTCTTGTAGTCTTTAAATATATTCCAGGCTGCAAAACCTGTTTCAATCACACCACCAACAGCATATCCGGCAGCAGACAAAGGACTGGATATGGCGCCCAAAATTTCATCTGAAACGTTGCCAACGGCTTTCAGAAAAGCAGGAACGCCCTTAGAGATGCCGTATCTTTGAAGACCTTGAAGTGCGGCACTGCCAACAGCTTTTGTACTATCCCAGGCAGGCTTGTACCACGGCTCAACTTGCAGACTGGTGTTCAGGCCACACTTGCACCAATTGACGAAGTGTTCGCAGTTGTTCTCAAAAGCATGGTAGTCACGTTCCTTTTTTCTTAACCTTAACTCAGCTCTTGAAATAACGTCATCGACAGGAAATCTTTGAAGTTCCTCGGGCCATTCCCTTATTTTTGCCTGTTAAAACAAATGAAAGAACTGAAACAAACAGTAAAAATCCAATAGAACCTTTAAGATCGTGCGAAATGTTTTTTACAATTTCTGTCCACGTATCATTCCCTAGCATGAAAATGAATGCAACTAAAACAAAGAATTTTATTTTTTTACACGCTGTCTGAAAAATATCTTCAACCTATTGTTTTTAAATTATTTATTATCAATATTGGCATGGGTGGCGTAGTGCACGTGGTTTCGGGTTTACCGCTCCGCGCCACTTCACAATGGAGTATACAATTTAACCACTGAAATGTTTTCTAAATTTTAAGGTTGTTTCAGGGTTCAATCTGTGAGTTAGCCATGCCCTGACTTAGATCAGACCAGAGGTTGTTTCAGGGTTTGATCTGTGAGTTAGCCATGCCCTGACTTAGATCAGCCCAGAGGTTGTTTCAGGGTTCAATCTGTGAGTTA